CTATTGTAAAATGTGTGTGTCTGTTTAATTTTTTAAAATATTTTGTATTACTTTTTTTTTTTTACAATATTACCCATTTTTATGCAGTACTGTAATTAATATGTATGTAAATATTACTATACTGGGTGTAGGACTGCCATATATGTATTTTATATATTTATGACAGTCTGGCTTCCAGGACTGTAGCAATCTTTTTGTATATTTGATACTTTAATTCTTCATATGACATTAATAAATTAAAGTGAATGTCACGTCCCCGTGTATGAGGCTCCCACACAGTCCAGATGTGTCCTTCCTCTATCCCCCCTTCCTATGATGACCACGCTGATAGAACTCCCGGTAACCTCGCTGGAGGGATCTCAGCGTTCCATGACGGAACGCGTGCAGTCCGCGGGTGGGCGTGTCCTCGGCTCTCCGTCCCTGTGATTGGCACTCCGCGCAGCACCTTTGTGCGGCTCTTTATCTGTGTCTGTGAGTCATGGAGGTTGGTGAGCGGAGCTTTATAACGGCTCGGAGTTCGGAGAGAAGCAGCCAGCGGCAGACTTTACACGGCTCTGGTTCCATCAACTTCTCCTCAGTCGGCTTCCTCGCCCGGGCAAACCCTGACCTCCCCTGCGGATATCCTTCACCTCCTGACACGCCTTCATTATTATGAGAACACTGACCTGTCTGGCGCTTTTCTTGGGCTCCGTTTTCCTTCTTGTGGAGCGCGGGGACTCCGCTGTCATCACTGGGGTGAGTGCCCAGCCCACATGACCTATGAAAAAAATTGGGGGTTTACAAAGGCGGCGAGGTGGAGCAGTGGCGGTTCAGTATGTGGTTCATGAACATCAAGGGTTTCATTTAAGAGATACAAGGTATACTTTACAGAAGGGTTAAAATTCCTGGGGGTGCGATATGTGTCACATTGAGGAGATTTATCTTTACTTCCTGTTCCCTAGATACAGAAGTGACAGGAAATCCTCCAAGAGTTACCTCCTGTTCAGGGGGCCTTCTGCCTTCCTCAGGGGTGTCTCTAAATTTTTGCATAGCGTCATACCATGATGCAGGCTGATGTAAAAGGAGGGGAACTCTGATGTAAAAAGGACTCTTGAGGTAAAGGGGGGCTTGTGATATTAAGGGGGACTCTAGTGTGAAAGGAGGGGGTTGTGATGTGAAGAATGGGCTCCTAAGAAGGGGGAAGCCCATTTTCTTGTGTTTTTTGAGTGGGGTCCCCCCTTGAAATCCTTAGTAGTCCCCTGCCTGGTATGAACATTGTAGGGGCCACACATTGTTTTTTACATTTACGTTTTTTAACATTTTAGACCGGGCTTCCTCAAGATTTTGCATACTTTTAAAGGGTGCCGTGACTGGAAAAAGATTGAGAAGCGCTGCCCTAGGGACCAGAGCAATGTTTATACTTTTGCTAGGGATACCAAGTACCGTACTCGGTACAAGTAGAAGTACAAATACTTTTCAAGCTCCAAGACTAGACTAGAGAAAAATTCAAAAGTTAGGAGGCAGCTGCCATTTGTAAGAAGCACACGGAGCTCCTGGGATTTCTACATCTCTGTTTTAATGTATGATTTTGTTTTTATAAATATATATTAGCGATGCACCGATACCGGTTTTGTGAGTACAAGTACTGATACTTGCCCAAGTACTCACAGATACAAGTACTGATACATTTTTGTTTAGTGTCATGTGACAGTTTTTCTAAAACAATACAGACTAATGATTTCAGGACAGTGGTGGAGCGCCAGAGCTAGGTCCCAGCTGCAGCCGCTGCCACCCTGGTAGTTCTCGTGAAAATGCCAAGTATCTGCACTGGTATCTGAAAAGTATCGGTGCATCCCTAGTATTTAGCCTCTCCTTGCAGTGAGGCCTGGGCCTCAGTTTTGTTCCTGTATCCTGTTCTGGCCTTGAACCCTGACATGACTCCTGACCATTACCCCTGAGGTCTCCTGATCAGTGGCTCCCCTCTTGTTGTCCTGCGCCCCATGTTGTCTCCAGTGTGTAATTTGTCATTTGTATTAGTTAGGCTTTTATATGTTACTTGCGGTTGTTGGCAGGGTTGCTTGCAGTGGTGGAGCACCAGAGCCAGGTCCCAGCTGCACCCGCTGCAACCCTGGCAGTTCTCGTGAAAATAGCAACATTTTTTTAACTTGTCAGGATGCAGTAACTGACATCATATGCAGATTGAAGCTCATCCCTTTCATCTGCAGGTGAATGAAACAGTCAATTCAAAAGTAACAATGTTACTCTTTATTTCTTTACTGGTTTACACAATGTTTATAAACAAGGTGTCAGATGGTCTGAGGTTTTTTTTGACAACCAAGGTTATTACAGCTGCTGTGTTTACACAACAAATCCTGTCACTTTTAAAAATCATGTATGGTTCACTTTAAAGTGATCCTGTCAGGTTAACAAAAAATACAGGTGCAAGATTCTTACAATAAAAAAGATAGCATGATGCTAATCTCGGGGCGGGCAGCATCCAGGACCACCAACAGGACCGCCAACAGCATTCAAAAGAGGACACCTCTGTCCAGGTCTGCTCTGCCTCCCGCCCTCTGCCATGCTGCCGCAGTTCTACTGTGGTGAGGTTTGGAAGTTTGGCCTTTAGTGTAAAGAGGGGCTTATGTGAAGGATGGGCTTCAGCTTTTGAAGTGAAGGGGGACTCTGATGCGAAGGGGAAACTGAGGACTCTGATGCGAAGGGGGAACTGAGGGCTCGGCTGTGAAGAGGACTCCTGATGTGAAGGAGGGACTCTGCTGTGAAGGAGGCAGCCCTGATGTGAAACGAGGGCTCCGTGAACGGGTGACACTCATGTAAAAGGGGGGGGGGGCTCTGATGTGAAAGGGTGGCTCTGATATGAAGGTTCCTCCTGATGTGAAGGAGGGCTTCTGATGTGAAAGGGGGGCTCCATGAAGGGGTGACACTCCTGTAAA